ACAAAGATTAATCCCTCACATATTTAAAAGTACAAATCAATTACTGAAAATACTTAAGATGACAAGCAACGTGTACACAAACACATACACACATGATCAACCCAACTTTAGGAATTATGTGCTATGGAAAATGAGAGATGGGGAGGAATCTATACCTTGATCAACTTCTGTCTTTATTTGCTTTTTCCTGCTACATTTGGAAACAATGAAGTCAGTGAAAAAGTATATCCCTTGTTGACTTTATAAACATTGTTACACACTGACATCTAAGTCTTAAACACCACTTAGGGTTAGGGTTAGTTTCTATAATGTGTTGATACAAATTTTCAAAGGTAATAAGCATCATTTTTCACCTATTTAAAGCTTTAAAAAGAAAATGTTTCTCAAGGTTAAGCCTTAAGCCTGAATTTTCCCTAAAATTCTACCCAGAAATTTCTCACTGCCTACTTGAATGGTACATTAATTTAAAACTCATCTGTTCATGCAGTATAAAACCCATCTATCAAGATATTCCAGGGGGAAGGCATTGGGGTAAGGATATAAATATGAGGATACAGTTGATGACTTTATTAAGAAGTTCCTTGAAGTCCCTATTTTTGTCCTACCATCATTTAGGCAAGAAATCTTAGCATCAGCCTTCACTTCATTCTCATCTACTCAAACCCTAATTTTTTTGCTACTACTCTAATTCAGAAACTCATACTTTTGCCATCATCCTACCCAATATGTATTATGCACCATTTACTAAGCACAGTGGTAAGTGCACACACATACATTACTTAGTTTTCACAATAACCTTAAAAGGGATTATTATTATGTCAATTTTACAGATGGAGAAATTGGCTTACAGAGAGTAAGGCATGCACACAGAGTCAGTAAAAGAGAAAGTTACATGTAAGACCAGAAATCACATTTTTAACCACTGCCACAGTTCATCCAGTCCTCATTTTCTCAGGATTTTTCCAACAACTGATTCTTTACAATATCCTTTGAGGAAAGCTTCTTTTTTTCATTTCTTAGAAACTAGAGTATTCAACTGTTCTCTCCTTTCTTTCTAAAGTGGCGGGGGGCAGTGGGCATGGCATACACTCACAACCTCTGTATGTCAACAAAATAATACTTATTAAATGCTAAATAGTTTTAACTGATGATACTAATTTCCCCCCCAAGTATTTCTAATACTAGCTTGCCTCTACCTAGAAAATAAATCTACCACTCTGTTAGACATTTGTACATCGTTTTTTTAGGGGGTACAGTGCTACAGATTGAACCCAGGGCCTTTGCACTTTTGCACTAAATCTGTGGCCCTTTTTACTTTATATTTTGAAACAAGGTTTTTTAATTTGCTAGGTTGTCCAGGCTGGGTTTAGACTTGCAATCCTCCTTGGCTTCCCAAAGTGCCAAGTTGACAGATGTGCACTACTATGCCTGGCTCAGTTTCTATATTTTAATTCTCTATTTTTCAACATAAATTCTACATGCATAAAAAAAATTAACTTTAAGTATTCACCTCATCATTCACCAATAGCTGACTTAAATTGGGACTTGGCTTTATTTTTCTTTTATCGGTCTTATAATTTAACTTGTTGAAGATGTAAACCACAACTCTAATGTTCAAGGATTTTATTTCCTATCAAAGAAACATTAAACAAATGTACAAGAAAGATAACTAAAAGTAAACAAGGATGTTGACTCAAAGAATTTAAATCTGAACAATTTTATAATATGAAAATGAGTAAAAACATCCAAAGCTGGAAAACCATTTGCTTTCCTTTGATGTATCCTTTAATTTGTTTGCAGAATGAAAAGTGTCATGATACGACATAAATACCAGTAAGCTGGTGCTTCCAAAGACATTGATGGTTCTTACAGAAAGCTCCAGTTTATTCATTTAACAAATTCTTGAGGAATAAAAACAAACTAATCACTATCCTATATCCTGGGAGACAGACTTCAAATAAATCACACCAAGAAATACGTAATTACAAGTTTTTAAAAATGATATAAAGTAAAATACAGGGTACAACGAGACTTATGATTAAGACCCAGAGTTTGAAGGTAAGAGAAAATCAAGGGAAGGCTTTTCCGAGAAAGTACCACTTAAACTGAAAATTGAAGAATGAATTGAAGCCAGGTATGGTGGCACATGGCTGTAATACCAGCATTCTGGAGGCTGAGGCAGGAGGATCATTGTGAGTTTGAGACCAGCCTGGGCTACATAGTAAAACCTTGTCTCAAAAAACCAAAACAATAAATAAAAAGGAAGATGGTATAAGATGAAGCTAGTAAAGCAGGAAAAAGGCAGATTATGTAGAGTTTTGTGGACCACAGTAAGGATTTTTAATTTTATCCTAAATATAATAAACACTTAGCAATGGGCAATTCACTGAGTTTGAAGCTAAGAAATTACATGTTATATTGTTGAATAGAGAAGTGACAATAGTTAGGATCTGGGCAATAGTTAGGATCTGGGCAGGAGAGTGGCAAGGACCCAAAATAAGGTAGATAAAGCAGGCATGGTGGTGCATGTATGTAATCCCAGCTCTTGGTAGGCTGAGGCAGGATGAAATTCAACACCAGCCTGGGCTATGTTGTAAGTTCAAGGCCAGCCTGAACTACATAGTAAAATCCTGTCAAAAAAGGGGAGGAGGTAAGGCAAATAAATAAAGCAATTAATAGAAGTATTCACCTCATCACAATTACAGTAACAATTAATGTCTATTTGCCAATTTATGGGTGCCAGGTAATTTCTTTTTAAAGACAGGGTCTCACTGTGTAGTTCAGGCTGGCCTCGAACTCACAGTAATCCTCCTGCCTCAGCCTTCCAATTGCTGGGACAGGTGTGCACACCACGCCCTGCTGTGCTATGTGCTTATAATAATTATTCCATTTAATCAGGTGAGAATTCTTATTTCCACTTTATATGTGAGAGTACTGGGGGCCACAGATTTGAATCCAGGTTAAAAAAAAAAAGACGTGGCTTGCACTAGAAAATTGATAGTGATGATGTACAAAAGTAGATCCAGGGTACGTGTTGGAATTGTAATAGACACAGTGCAACTTGGAGAAGGTATATATGTAGGAGGTGAAGAAGTCAATAAGGCCTCACTCAAATTTTTGTTTTATGTAACTGAATAAATAGATATGCTACTTAATAAAACAGGACAGGAGGATAAAGAACTGGGTATAGGACTAGAGGAGCAGCTCAGTGGTAGACGACTTGTCTAGCATGTGCCAGGCCTTGAGCTTAACCCCCAGCATGACAAAAATAAACAAATAATTTGTATACCAAAAATATGTGTAAAAATTAAAACTTTAGTTTTACACAAATTTGAAATTGCTGCCAGGCATGGTACTGCACACTTGTAATCCCAGCGCTGGTGGTGGTGGTGGGGGTTCCTGAGGCAGGAGGATCTCTGCAAGTTGGAGGCCAGCCTGGGCTACAAGGCAAGACCCTGTCTCAAAAAAAGAAATTGCTAAGAAAGAAATCAAGTTGATCTGCCAAGCAGACAACTGACTATTTGGATATGGAGCTAAAAACAAAAAGAAGGAAATAGACTAGAAATAAAAATTCTTGGTATCAATGCATAATTGAAATTTAAAGCTTAGAAAAGAATAAAAGAACAAAAGAGGATTCACAATTGGACCCAAATATTCATTTTACTTTATCAAACATCTCTCACCTAGACAACTGATTTAGACTTGTGCCACTGGGCTTTGCAGCCCTCCTTCAATTTTATCTTTCAGCAGAATGTAACACTACACATGACTTCTTTTATCTCTTGCAAGACTTCTCCCTTATGTCCAATTATTAAGCTTCAAGAATCTCTCAACGCTCCATCGGATCTCCTTTTCTCTTTGGATAATTTCATCCATAATCATGGCTCCAATTACTATCAACATGTCAGATAACATATACACATACAGTATATACATTAAGATATAGTACATATCCAGTCCAGAACTCGCCTGTAATCTCAAACCCACAACATACAAATGCCTACTTGACATTCTCTCTTAGGTATCTCCTCTAGAGACTTTCAGGAACTGCCAGCCCTCCAACAACATTACTCACAGCTGAAATTTTGAGAGGAACAGTACAAAACCACTACAGGACAACTCTCCAAAATACAGGACTTTGTCACCAATTATTATTTCTCTTCACTGATCATGACTTAAAAGAGGTTAACCCGACAACCTGGTATGATGGCTAGATATGGGAAGCAATCAAGTGCACGGAAAGTAACAATTCATGTCTTTTAATGTGATGAAAAAGGGGAGGACGAAGATGAAGATGGTCAAGACAGCAAGTAAGTATGTCCAAGGCCTGATAGATGTGCTGCAAAGGAATTCACCCGCTGGCCTTGTTACGGGGGTCAGGGGTGGACGACGACGGTCCCAGAGAAAAGGGGACAGGTTCGGGTGGCGCACGGAACTAGTGACAGTACAGACCAGGTCAAAAGAGAGGGAAAGTCGAGGAAGGACACCAAAGTGTAGTACCTGTGACGCCTGGGGAGCGCCGAGGGGCTGGGGGCGGGCTGAGCAGCAGCGGGGAGAACTCCAGAAGAGTGAACGCCGAGTGGGCGGACCGCAGGGGGAGGGGTGCTAGGGAAAACGGCTCAATTGAGAAGCCACCTGGTGGCCTTACCTGTGCTTAAGGGTCTGGCGCCCCCGACAAGCCTACTGGAAGCAACAAAGTCCGTGCGGAGGGGGAGGAGCCGGAGGTAAAAAAAGAAGGGACACCAAGCAAGAAGCAGCAAGCCAGCTCGCTCCCCCAAAACAGGGAAAGCGGCTGATGGCGGGAACTGTGACCACACGCAAACACGCACGCACGCACGCACGCACACTCGACGCGACCGGACTCAGCGCATGCGCCTAAATCTGGAAACTCCGCCCCCTACGTCCTCACCCCGCCCCGGCAGCCAGCGACGCCTGACCCATAAACCCCGCCCCTGCCGAGTTGTACGACGCATGCGCACTCACCACTTTCCCAAATTTCGCCCGCCCACCTAGCGCAGGTGGGCATGCGCAATTCTTGTTCTCCAGACCCTGCTGGGCTTTTCCCGCCCTTCCCCGGCCTTTGGAGGAGGGTCGGAGTTCACTTTCTTCTAGCTATAACCTGCCCGATGAGGGTTGGATGCGGGACTAACAGGTCGTGGTCGTCATTTTGGTTCTAAATCTTAGGAGGGGGCAAAGGACGTTCTACGACTTTAGGCCAAGAGCCAGGAGGCGGGAAGAAGTTGTGTGGGCGGGGCCGGGGTGAGAGGTCAGAGGGCTGCGAGCGGGGCGGAGCGAACCTGAGGCGGATGGCGGCTCACCACCTTCCGCGGCAGAGGCGCTGAAGCTGGGACCCGAGTCGGGCGCCTTAGGCGGAGGAAGGAGAGCGGCGGCCGCTCCCAACATGCACAGCCTGGCGACCGCGGCGGTGAGTGGCTGCGGCCGCGTCCCTTCCTCAGCCCCGCCTTCCGCCCTCCTAGCTCCCTGTGCCGGGCCTGCAGCCCGGCTCCTTCTGTCCCAGCCCGCGAGGCCCCAGCGCCCTCCACGCCGCGCCCTGTCTGGTGCAGCCAGCCCCCACTTTCCTCGCCGGACTCCTCTCGCGGCCTCCCGCGCTGCACCTCGCGTTCTTTTCTGACGCTGGGCCTGGTCCCGCGCCCGAGCGCATCCCGCGCGGCCCAGGCAGGCCATTCATTGATTCATTGCGCTGACCGGCAATTTCAGGGCGCCAGTTGTGTGCTGGGCGCCAGCGGGGATGAGGGGAATTCCGTGGTCAGTCTAACGCCGCCGTTGCCCTCGGAACTCATCGCCTAGGCACGTCCCAGCGGGAAGGAAATGATTGCAGCCACTTACTTTGCCCACAGAAAGCCCGAGGCCCAGAGAAGTCTGTAATTATTGCATCTGGTTCTCTCCTTTAAAACCTTTCTCGCACACCTTGTTTTACCAGTGTGATATTTTAACAAGGAAAACGGGTTTTGTGATTCATTTGTCTGAAGTACTCCTATAGCTTCTTACTGCATTCAGATAGTCTAGGTGCCTTTCCATGACCTGCAAGGTCCTGTGTGATGCGGTCCTTACCCATGAACACAGCCTCATTTTATGTCGTTTGTTTAAGTTCCAGCCAAGCTGGCCACCTTTCAGACCCTGGTACATGTGCTTTCTGGCCTCTATACCTGGAATGCCCTTACCTCTCTCCTTACACTCGCACAGCCTATGAGAGTGACCGGTTTCCCTTCCCTGAGGTCTCTACCTAAATCTGTCACAGAATGGCCTTCTCTGGCCTCCTTAGTGTGGCTTGTAACCCTTAACTTCTCTCTCATGGAGCACTTACTTTGTTACAGCACTGATCCCAATGTGTTAGTTATTCGATTCTTTTACCTATGAGTTGTCTGTGTCCCTCCTGAGAGAAGGGATAGGGATCCTGTGGGTGCTGTAGACATGTTTTTTCCTAGTGCTAGGACAGGTGCTGGTACAAAGTAAGGATGCAAACACTTTGCTGATGGAAAGACTACACGAGGGCGATGAACACTGAAAAAACATAGCTGTAATAGGGGAAAGGGGCCATTTGATTTTTTTCACACTCCTCTGAAAGCCAAATTCCATTTTTTATTGTTTCACTAAAAGGGTATGATTTGAGAGTAATTTACTGAAATTGCATTTTCAGGCAAATTACTAGAGTTCCGAAGCCAGGTGTGGTGGCACACATCTATAATCCCAGTACTCCAGAGGCTGAGGCAGGAGGACTGCCAAGAGTTCCAGGCCAGACTGGGCTACATAATGAGTTCAGGTCCAGCCTGAATTACATAGCAAGACCCTGTCTCAAAAAAATAAATAATAAATAGAGTACCAAAGATTGCCTCAGTTGCCTTAATTTTAAATATAAAAGGTAAAAAATTCAGTTGTGACTGAGCTATAGAAAACCTTGCTTCTTGCCAGGCGTGGTGGCGCATACCTGTAATCCCAGCACTCAGGAGGCTGAGACAGGAGGATCATTGTGAGTTCGAGACCAGCCTGGGCTACAAAGTGAGCTCAAGGCCAGCCTGAACTGCACGGCAGGACTCTGTCTCAAAGAAACAAAAGAAGAAAGAAAGAAAGAAGACCTTGCTTCTTGAAATTTGATGTTATCTTGTCATTTTCGGAATCAGTAGTATCTCTGCCACCAGCCATGGTGTTTCTAAGTTTTTGTAACTATAAAAGTGGAGATGTATTTTATAAGGCTCAGTTAAGTGTTTTGTTCCTTCTCCTGAATTATACTTGTAATTTGAGAAGCAAGTTAGATGTTGTTTGCTGCAGGTATGGAAGAGGCAGCTTCAAAAGGAAATTCTTCCAAGGTTAGCTTGTCCATCTTTCAAAATATGATCATGCATCACCTTTCCAGGATTTGTACTGGTGACACCAAGCCACTGTTCCCTGTATTTCCCAAGGCTCTGTATCTGTTCCTTTTAAAACGCCATTAAAGGGCCAGGGATATAGCTCAGCGGCACAAGCACCTGCCCAGCAAGCGCAAAGTCCTGAGTTCGATTCCAGGTACCAAAAAAGGCCATTAAAACTGTAGTATATTATTTGTAAAAAGCTGGTTGTGGTTGTGGCTTAAGCCTGTAATCCCAACAGTCAGGAGGCTGACGCAGAAATATATCAAGCCCAAGAGCAGCCCAGAATATATAACAAAACTTTGTCTTAAAAAAAAAAACAGCATTAAAAAACTGGTGCATATACTCAATACATGTTTCTTCAATTAAGTTTACAATGCCTTGTATTAATTTAAAATATGAACTTTCAGATGTACTTTCATTTATTCCTCTAATTGGGCCACATGGCAACTTGACAAGCTCCTTTGTACCACTCATTCCCTATGGTCCTTTATTAGTGATGAGACTGAAATAGAAAAGATTGAGACACTTTCTTTTCAATCCTTCATGTCTCCTCTTAGAACAAACTGCCCCTATCATTCTGATTTGGGTAAGATGACAGTCTTACCCAAATGATGTTTCATTTGCTAGAAAATGAGAAAAATTAATACATGCAGCAGTGCCCACGGTAACCTACAACACTTGAGAAGAGACTTACTTTTGCTCAATAAGGAAACTTGTATGTATTTTATCTTTTATAAAATAGCAGAGAGCTCATCCCTTCAGCTAAGAAGGTAGAAAGTACTGTCAAAGGAGAATGTGATCACACATGAATGCAGGTTGTAATTTACTAGAAGAATAACACAAGTACTGAGATAGTTGGAGAAGTGTCTTAAATTTTGACTGGAGTAATATCTTATTATACCAGAAATGTATAATATACTAGGCTCTTGTTATAGAATATATCCTAATGTCTTAGCTACTGCCACTATAGAATATAATTTTCTTCTTCCTACTAAATAAGAACAGAACTATCACACAGGATTATTTAAAACATCAATGAGATTAACAAAGTTCTTGCTTGTTGACTAAGTTCAGTTACTGATAAATGCCTAATTCCTACCTCGGTAAAGTAACAAATTACTTCGTTATAGACCTGGGTGGTTGCTTCAGATTAGTAGAAATACGGATCTTCATGTACCATAGATCTCCTATAATGGATGTTATGCTAGTGAAATAGCCAAATGTGAACCTTTAGGAGATGCATTAGATTATGCATTTTAAAAAATTCTTCATGATTTCTACTGGCAGTTCTAGCATTCTTAACTCTCGTCTTTCTGTGTCCATCTAATGAGCACATCATTAAAAAAAATATTTTTTTATATCTTTATTGAAGCTGGGATGGGCTCCTAGATGCTGTTGTTGGCAAGTAGAAAAACTCTGTGCACTCATATACAGACTCTAATTCAGTCTCCTTCCCAGTATTCTTTTGAAGCTTTAAGCAAATTGCTAGCTTTTCTTTGTTCATTTACATTTTTAAAAATTATTTTGAAACTGGACATGGTAGTACATGCTTGTAATCTCTGCACTCTGGGAGGTTGAGGCAGGAAGATTTGTGATGGAGTGCTGGGCATCAAATGTAAGGGCACTCTACCACTGAGCTATATCTCTAACCACTACCTACCTATCTATCTATCTATCTTTCTTTCTTTCTTTCTTTCTTTTTTTGAAGCAGAGCTGGCTCCAAGTTGAAATTCTGCCTCCAGAGTAGCTAGGATTACAGGTGTGCACTACTATGCCAGTTTGGGCTCTAATGTTATAAATTTTTGAGGATATCTAACCTAACTTAATACTTTCAGTACTATTGAAAAGTATATAGTTTTTTCTTTGGTTTTGCGGCGCTGGGGATCAAACCCAGGGCCTTGCACATGTTAGCAAGTACTCTACCGTTGAGTTACATCGCTAACCCTAGAAAATGTTTCTTCTTAGAATATCATCATTGTATTAATACTCAAAGTTATATGTTGAAGCATCTGTAACCTTATTGACTGTCTCTTATTTATTGGTAAGAAAATAAAGCCATTCTGGACCCATGAAGTTATATTGATAATTTGGCTGGACGTGGTGGCGCACGCCTGTAATCCCAGCACTCAGGAGGCTGAGGCAGGAGGATCATTCTGAGTTCGAGACCAACCTGGGCTACAGAGTGAGCTCAAGGCCAGCCTGAACTGCATAGTGAGACCCTGTCTCAAAAAGACAAAAAAAATTATAGAATAGTATGTTGATAATTTGCCTTTTTAAATTTTATTTATTTATTTTTGGTTTTTGAGACAGAGTTCACTGTGTTATTCAAACTGGCTCACTATGTACTCCAGCATAGTGGCCTTAAACTCACAGCAGTCCTCCTGCCTCAGACGCCCAGAGTTCTGGGATTACAGAAAAGTGCCCCCATGCCCAGTTGTGACCTATGCATCTTAATTGTGGTTACCCGAGCATATAAATTTGTCAAAATTTATTGAAATGTACACTTTAAATGGATGTGTTTATTGTATGCAAATTTTGCCTCCATACAATGTACATCTTTCGCTTATAACTCAGAACTAAATTAAAAATACAGTAATGCCTCGGTAAACAAACACTTCTTTTTGCAAACTCTGCCCCAGGTGACAAACGCAGCCACTGCCATCTTCCCCAGCAAACACAAACGCAGCCATTTTCCTCAAAATTGTGAAACAAATTAAGTCCATAAACCCAGATACCCTCACTGGGCATGATGGCACACACCTGTAATCCCTAGCACTTGGAAGGCTGAGGCAGGAGAATGGCCCTGAGTTTGAGGGCAGCCTGGGCTACATAAGCAAGTGTAAGCCCAGCCTGTGCTACATAGTAAGACCCTGTCTCAAACAAAAACAAAAACAGATAAATCAAGGTACCACTATAATTTCTGAGGTTTCAGTCTGTAACTGATACTGACAATTATTTAATAGAGTTACCCTCCTTTAACAGTAATAAAGTTGAAGCTTAGAAAGCTAAATGACGTACAGTTCTAGAAATGACTAAACTGAGTTTTGTGCCATCTTAGGCTCACAATCCAATGTGCATTCCATTTATGTACTACTTATAAATTACCTGCGAATTGACTTTCCTACATTGCAGAGTGTCCATGAATTACCTAAAATTATTTGTAGGTTTGTTTTGCAACTGTATATTTTTCTGAGGAAAAGATCATAGTTTTCACTTGATTCTTAAAGGGTCTCCAAAAAAATGTTATCTCTGCTCTTAATGGCTGTTAGTGTGTAATTATTGCTAATTATTGTTTTTAAGTTAGGTAATTTCCAATAGGAAAGTCATAGGTGAATTTGCTTATCTACCACTGGACAATATTACTACTTCATTGAGTTTTGTATCAGTTGCAGCCTAATACAGAAATGTTTTACTTAATTGAAAATTAAAATTTTTCTATAAAAATGAAAGTTAAGAGAGTTATAGCATGTGAGCTATGAATTCTTTTTTTTTTTTTTTTGTACTGAGACTCAAACAGAGGACCTTGTGCTTGCCAAGCAAGATGCTATGCTGCTGAGCTGTACCTGAACTATGAATTTTTACAGGTTTTTTGTTTTGAGGTAATTTTTTTTTTTTTTTTTTACTGTAATGCCCAAGACTGCCCTCCAACTCCTGGGCTCAAGCAGCCCCCCTGCCTTACCCTCCTGAGTAGCTGGAATTACAGGTGCATGCCAGTGTGCCCAGCTAGGTGGTCTTTAAGGAGAGAGTAGAAATGAGGAAATCTGGCCACTGTTTTCCATAGTTTCATGGCTTAAAATGAGGACGATAACTGGTAAATACTTGTACTCATTAAATAAAACTTTTTTAAAAAAACCTTCAACACAGTTCTCCCCTTGCCAACCCTACCCTTTCTTTTACTTCCCTTCCTCTTTTAGGAAGACATTAATTTTTAGACTCTTCTGTTTTTGTGAAAGGTGTGCCTGTATAACCTTGAGCTTAAGAGAATAAGAAACATTTTGAGTTTTTATTTATTGCCTCTAATGAAATGGTAGTGTTATGCTTTGACATTTTGTTTAAGGATGATGTCCAAAATATTTTACCAGTTGGTAATACAAATTAACAGATATGTAGAAGGCCTGGGGTTTGTTCTCCAGCACCATAAATACTAATATATGAACCAATATATAATTAGAAATGTAAAAATATTTGTCTTTTATTCTCCAAAACTAAATTTCTATGTATTTTATAAAATTGCTTGTTGGTGGCTGGGCTTAGTGGCACACACCTTTAAGCCTGCCTATAAACCCAGTACTCGGGAGGCTGAGGCAGGAGGATTGTTGCAAATGTAAGGCCAGCCTGGGCTACAAAGTGAGTTCAAGGCTAGGCTGAACTACATAGTGAAACTGTGTCTCAAAAAGAAAAAGAAATTGCGTGGTGGCATGCTTGTATACATGCATGTATGTATGTGTATGTGTTTTGGTGGCTATCACTGGCTACATTATGCTCCCGTGTGAGCCATAATGTGACGTCAGGAATCATGTGAAACTATGTTACTGGCTTTTCCATTAAAATGGTATATATTAAGTGCTTTGTTATCTCAATAACTGGAGAATTTCTCTTAACATCAGTGATATTTGTGGTACTGAGTTGGACTAACAGAATAACAATTTTTCTCTGAGATTTTCATATAGTCATTATTTTGTCTAGTTCAAAGTAAATAGTTTCTTAGAAAGCTTATTTAGATGACCTCTAATCTTCCAGTTTTAGGATCTGTGCTGCCAAAGCAAGAACAAACTCTAATCTTCAGACAAATAAAAAACAGCATTAGCAAAGAGGTTAGGAGTATGGGTTGAGGCTGGGAATGTAGCTCAGTGGTAGAGTGCTTGCCTAGCGCGTACAAGACCCTAGATTTGATCCCTTGCACCACCAAAAAAAAGTATGGAATGTGTTACAAGACCATCTGGGTTCAAACTTTGGCTTACCATTTAGGTTTTACATAACTTCCCTGTGCGAGAGCTCTGGAAAGGGATATGGGGGGTCTACTGTACAGGAGTCATGGTATGTTAACTGGTGGCTACCAGGGCCGGGTAGGCGTACCAAATGCAAATCACAGGCTGATCTTGTTGGAGTTATGGTGGTGTATGTTTGGCGAGACTTTAGGGGAAGAGTGGAATGGGTTCTGATTAACTGGGGCTCCCTTTAGTTATTGGATTATGATATTGTTCCAAGAGGCTGTGGGCAGGATTTGTAAAGCTAAAATTTAGCCTATGTTTCCACTGATCTTTTAAGATGATATAGTCTAAACAGACAATTGTAAAACTACTGTTTTTTAGTTGAGTGCTTATTAGTCAGAGCATAAAAAGGACAAAGCTTAAACCCTACTGCTTTTGCTGTTGGAATGGAGGGAAAGGGTTTTTATCATATCATACCTATTTTTATCATGTTGTTGCTTTAGTAACCTTTGATTCCTTGAGGAGCATCACTAATGGGAGTTACAAAACAGCTTTTAGCAGATTACTGTAAAGGAAGGCTTAAGCTACATGTTATTTCAGTCCATTTGGCCATCTTGTGGTTCGTTCTGTCCTGAAAGTGAAATGATATTCATCAAGCTAAAAGCTCATACTCAAGCTTCCATTTATAGAAGGCCATTATTCAGGTTGGATAGAGCAAATCTGAGTCCACCATGAGGTCTGTCTTATACTTTATTCTGTCCTTCAACAGGGCAATTCTTTTAGGCCATCATTCTATCACTCTAAGACACAATGGAGACTGGTAAATACTATGAGAAGCTATGTAGCATAGTTCAAAAAAGCATTGAAGCCAGGCGTGGTGGCACACACATGTAATCCCAGCACTCGGGAGGCTGAGGTGGAAGGATTGTTGTGAGTTCAGTGCCAGCCTGGGCTACAAAGTGAGCTCAAGGCCAGCCTGAACTGCATAGCAAGACCCTGTCTCAAAAAGACCAAAAAAAAAAAAAATATTAAATATGCAACTTAATGCCTGGGTGAATTGAGCAGATTGATTCAACTGAGTAAGAATGATCTTATCTGTAAGTGTAGTTCACCCTTTTATCTACCTATCACTCTTTTATTCCTCATGATTTAGGAAAAATTACATGAGGAATTATTGGGCATAGTAGTAGAAATCTTGAATTTATGAGAAGTTTATGGCTTAGAGATAGGAGTTGCAATCATTTTTCTAATATGCTATCTTGTTTTCCAAATCAGAGTAAGGAATTTAACCAAAGTTACAAGGCTGTTTGACTAGTATGGAGAATAATTGAAATGTTGAAACTTAGGGAGAATGTTGTGATTCTTCAGCACAGTAATGAAAGCATGTTTTATACATCTGTATAGTTTCTTCGTTAGTAAGTAATGAATATATATATATACACTTTTCCATGTTATAGTCATTTTCTGCTCTTTGGTCAGGGGGGTCAGGTTAATGAGGAATCAGTAATGGTGAGATACAGTTTTTTTTTCTGTCTCAGAAAATATTATAGGCATTGGTTAAAATAAGTTTAAAGTATAATGAAGTGATTAAGGCTCCCATGTAGATCTCCAACCTTGGAGATAACTACTGTTAAGTTTCTTACGTGTCCTTCTAGAACCAATATATGTAAACGTATAAGAATGTTTATGTTTATATTAATGTAAACACATGTATGCTGTTCTGCACCCCTTTTTGTTTTTATTTAGTGTCAGTATATAGAGGGCTATATCTTTTTTGAGGGGATGGGTTGTTTTTGTTTTTTAGATGTAGAATGTAGTTTAGGTTGGCCTTGAACTCACTATGTAGTCCAGGCTAGCCTCCAATTTGCAGCAGTTCTTCTGCCTTAGCCTTCAGACTGCTGGGATTACAGGCATACACCACTGTGCCCAGAGCTATCTCTTTTTCAAACACCTGCATAGTGTTCCATTATAAACATGTACCAGTATATATTTAACCAGTTCCTTATTGATAAAGACATTGATTTTCTGCTTTAAAACGGTACAGTAGGACAGACATGGTGGCATGCTCTTATAATCCCAGCAGTGGGGAGGCTGAGCCAGAGGGATTGCCATGAGTTTGAGGCTAGCCTGAACTACATAATGAGGCCTTGTCTCAAAAAAAACAAAACAAAACAAAACAAAAAAACCCCCACAGTATAACAGTAAATATCATGGTACGTTTTCAGTAGAACCCTAGCATACCTACAGGGAAAATTCCTGAATGTAGAATTATTATTAAAGAATGTGTATTGATAACTGCTAAACAGATTGATTTGGTTTATATCAAATATGTATATTTAGAAAAGCCCCTCTGACATTTATGGAAGATGCATTCCCTCCAAAGCAGTATTTCAGGGTAACACTTGATCTGATTATAATAAACTCAAACTTACTTTCTTCTTTTTCCCTAAAGCCTGTGCCTACTGCACTGGCTCAAGTGGATAGAGAAAAAATCTATCAGTGGATCAACGAGCTATCCAGCCCTGAGACAAGGGAAAATGCTTTGCTGGAGCTAAGTAAGAAGCGAGAATCTGTTCCTGATCTTGCACCCATGCTGTGGCATTCCTTTGGTACTATAGCAGCACTTTTACAGGTGGGTTTACATCCATGAGTTGCAGTTGTCATCTTTACCATATGGTACTTTTTTTCCCCTCTATCTTTGCTCAGGTGATTTTTGAAGACTTCAGAGGGATGATTCTTCAAGTATTAGTATTTCTAAGAACTATAAGGTGTTAGAAAACTATAAGATGTTTGTTGAAAATGCAGGTTCTTTGATCCTCTGCAAGAGATTCAATTCAGTCAGTCTGGGGTGGACCCTAAAGTCTGTATTTTAATAAACACATGATTCTGATGCGTGTGGTCTAAGAACCTCATTGAGAAACATGGCTTTAGGATTGCTACAGTAGATTCTACATAACAGAAAAATGTAGAGAGTAAGGTGTAAGGAAATGCAAAGTAAAGTCTGTCTGACAGGGAGAAATGTTAAGAATAGCTATAGGATTAAAAGTGAAGGCACTTGTGCATTAGAGAATGAGTACTGAAATTTGATTCAGGCCAAAATGGTTCTTGGTGGGAGTAAATTAAAATAGTACAGTCCCAGATAACATGATGATCCTTTATCTTATCTCCCTGCTTTTTGTAGTTGCTAACCTAACTCAGACTTCTTTTGAGTCACTGTAGTTGATTCACTAATCCATTTAGGTTGGCTAGCATTCTCATTCTCATTTAAAGTAAGACCCTGACAAAAGAAGAAATTATAAAAATATAAGGGTCTCTCAGATAAAAGATTGAGCAGCAGCAAAATCTAAGAGGAAGTGTAGGTTGACCACAGTTGCTTCTTAGAAACCAGGTGTGGTGGCACATGCCTAATAATCCCAGCACTCTAGGAGAAAATGATAAATTTGAGGTCAACCTTGGCAACTTAGCAAGAACCTGTCTTAAAAAAGGGTTGGCGTGAAGGTCCTGGATTCATACCTTAGTACTTCAGGAGAGAAAAAAAAATCTTCCTAGAGACATGTGTAGAAATGTCTTAGTCAAGTATGTTTGTAGTCAAAGAATAGGAACATTGTTTATATCTGCTTCTTAGTTCTTACAGGATAAATGGAGCTAAACAGATTTTGGGGGTATGTTTTTTGCTTTAGTACTGTGGAAACTATATAATTAGTTATTCCTTATTGATTTGGTGCTGATTTTCACTTTTTAGGAAATTGTAAATATTTACCCATCTATCAACCCACCTACCTTGACAGCGCACCAATCCAACAGAGTTTGCAATGCTCTGGCATTACTGCAATGTGTGGCATCACACCCAGAAACCAGGTAAATGCTTTGGGTGAGTTGGAGGCGGGGAATATTTAATACTGGCATAAGCTTTTTGCTGAGTGGTAAGAGGAAGGGCATGCAATGGCACACATGTGGGTTTGGTTGTGAATCTTTAGGACTCCTCTGAAGTTTTTACCCATTCGTAGCAATGAACTTTTGAAAAGCAATGTTCACATCACAGGAGAAGAGGGGCTGGGGATTTAGCTCAGCGGCACAGCACCTGTCTGGCAAGTGCAAGGTCATAAGTTCGATTCCTGATACTGGAAGAAAAACAAAACACAAACAAACACATCACAGGAGAAGTTGTGTCAGTCACAGAGCCACTTCTCAAATCTGTGATATGTAATGCCTTGACTGAGACACAATGCAATGCATGGCATATAATAGGAGTTCACTAAATTTTTTGTTTTTTGTTTTTTAGGTTTTTTTCTTTTGTTTTTTTTTTCTGGTACCGGGAATCAAACTCATGACCTTGCGCTTGCCAGGCAGGCACTGTGCCGCCTGTGCGGCACTGTGCTGGGGATTGACAAAATCCCCAGCCCCTTTGTTTTTTGACACAGGGTCAAAGTCTCAAAAAGTTCAGGCTGGCCTTGAATGCACTATGTAGCCCAGGCTGGCCTCGAACTCACAGCAAGTGCCACCACCATGCTTGGCTTCACTAAATTTTTTTAGAGCACCTTTTCCCACTGAACTCAGAGTTATTTCCTCCTGCCCTCTTCTTTCTTCCTCCTCCTCCTCTTTTTTTTTTTTTGTTTCCAGTTTTGAAACTTGATCTCACTGTAATCTAGCTGGGACTACTGAGTACTGGCATTATTGGTGTGCTCCACCATGCCCAGCTGAACTCAGATTTAACATTTTAGAATGCTTAACAGAATTTTAGGCAGCCCTCATAGTAGATGAAAATTGGTGTGCAAATTGGAGGAGTATTTTGTGATTCTGCCATATCTGGAAAGTTAAGAAACAGGAATCCTTCAGGAATTTGCTTTATGGGTTTTATGGCCTCTGAAACGTTTATTAAAGCCTTTTCTCTTTATCAGGTTTTCTTAGGAAATCTGAGTATTTAGTTGGCCCTTCGTTGATCTTTCAGAAATACAGAAAACTTATTTTTAAAAAATTATCTTAAGTACTAATAGCTATACGAGAGTATTTTGAATGTTAAAAATCTTAGGTATTGACTGTCTTACAAAGCATAATTATAATATAAAGTAATAGACTGGTTTTTGTATTAGTTGCATGCCATATTAGTTACAAGTTGAGATGTTTTCATAATGCTTAATGTATTTGAAATGCTCTAACAGAAAAAAAAAATGTGCATTTAATCATAGAAAATAAAGTAACTGGACATGGTGGTACACACCTGTAATCCCAGCACTCAGGAGACTGAGGCAGGAGGATCTCTGTGAGTTTGAGGCCAGCCTGGGCTACATAAGCAAGTTCAAGGCCAGCCTACACTACATAGCAAGATCCTGTCTCAAAAAAAATAAATCGCAGATAAAAGTTGATACAGGCTGCTTTGTCTTATAACATTGGTTTATAAGGTTTTGTCTGACTACTTGTGAAATTATTTAGTCATAAATTAGATGAGGAAGATAAACTAGAAGAATCTCTTGGCATTTATTAGCATTTTATGACCTCTTTTTAAAAATCAAGTTGAATGTTTAAATTATTCAGTTTTTAAGGTTCCTAGGTACTGATGGCAGGGAAAATCTTGTGTTCCCTTAACCACCCAGACTTGACCTAGTGTTCAATATTGGCATCATTGACATTTTGGGCTTGGTCACTATGGAGGGAAAAGGAAGGCAGGAGGGAACCATCCTGTACATTGTAGGATGTTTAGTAGTACCTCTGGCCTCTCTCCACCAACATCTCTTAGTTAGCCCCCAACATCTCTTAGTTATGACTACCAAAAATGTCTCATGTTCTCTAGGGGGAAACCCCACCCACCTGCCCACCACCACCAACTTGAGAACCATTGGCCAAGACTAATGGTCAATAAAATTTTTCTTAATGTTTCCTTACTCTTGTAGTGTTATAAGCCTTAACAGAATTCAAGAAATGTGAATGTTCATAATCGTTAAAAATCATATCAGTGCACTAAATGTAATTAATTTTTCTTCCAGGTCAGCTTTTCTTGCAGCACATATCCCACTTTTTTTGTACCCCTTTTTGCACACTGTCAGCAAAACACGTCCCTTTGAGTATCTTCGGCTCACCAGTCTAGGAGTTATTGGTAAGTGATTAGGGTTATTTTGCAAGCCTGAAATCCTCATTCATACTAGCGGTCTAAGTTGGATACTTTGACTTGCTGCTTATATCTTGTTCATTTCTGTCTTTGACGTCTCATTCTCTAATAAATGAGTTGTCAGGAACATGATAAATCTTTTCAAGCACCATTCCAAAGGTTAGTAAGCTTATGAGGACCAAAACTTAGAATTGAGTTCAGCGTGTATATAGAAACATTTGCTGGAATTACAGGGAAAGTAAGGGATAAGAACTTGGTTCAACATTATGAATTATGCATTTGTAAGAGTTTGAATTTAGACAGACTTCCTCCCTCCCTCCCTCCTTCCTTCCCTCCCTCCCTTTTGCAGACAGGGTCTTCCTATGTAGTCCAGGCTGGCTTTGAACTCACTGTGTGACCCAAGCTGGGCTCTAACTCTGCAGTCCTCCTGCCTCAGCCTCCCAGGTGCTGGGATTACAGGCATGCACCACCATACCTGGCCTCATTTCTTTCTTTTTAAACGTCTTTCACTTGTGAACTTTGTCTCATATCTAGAAGTTCACCTTCTGCTATTTCACCTAGTTAAATTTTTTCATACTTAGTGTTTGTGGACACGTTTACGGGGAATGTATGTGAAATACTTCTTACTCAAGAGAATATTATATCAGCTATTTTAGATCTCAAACTCCTGGGTAGAAAGAACAATCTTTGGACTTATAGAATGTGTATAATATATTCAAGATTTTTTTTTCCTTTTTCTTATGGTTTTTTTTTTTTTTTTAGATACTAACAAAAATGTAAGAATGTTGATTACACAGCTTATTTTGTTGGATTATTATTATAATATGCAACCTATATATCCATATGGTTTATAAACCATGAATCAGAAAATACAAATGATAATAGCATGTTCCATACACACATATAGCTTACCCTGACAGCACATTTGTTTTGCTTTCCTGGCCTTTTTTTAGGACATACTTGACATCTTGCTGGTCTTCCTGTTTTGTCAGGAGGTTCTTATTATATTATACAATGTGTAGTTTAACAGTAACATAAAATATCAGTAAACTAAAGTACTAAATTTTTAATGTGTATTGTGCATTTAGAATAAACGTCAGGGCTGGGGGTTTAGCTCAGCGGCAAAAAGCGCCTGCCTGGCAAGTGCAAGGTCGTGAGTTCGGTTCCCAGTACCAGAGAAAAACCAAAAAAAAAAAAAAAATGGAATAAACATCAACATTTTCACATTAGCTGTGTACTGGCTTACAAAACCTAAAAGATAACATCAGAAATAAATTCCTATATGAACAACATTGAAAATACCCATAGAACTCTACCAGAGAAAAATCTTTATTTCAGTTATCACACCCAAGACAGTCTTCACACATAACACCTGCATGTTGCATTTACATGTCTCTCTTACAGAGACAACACATGTGCTTAGCTTTCCTTTCCTATGTGGCAGGCCATTTTTGTCACCTTTCTTGTCTTCCTGTTTTGTCAAGAGATTCCTACTATGTTGTGCAATGTGCACTTAGTAGGAAAATAAGATACTAATAAAATAAAATGTCAAATATAGAATGAGTGCTTAGAATAGACGTCAACATTTTCACATTAGGTGTTTACTTACAAAACCTAAAAAATAACATCAGAAATAAAAATGTGAATTACAGTATAAATACAAACAAAAATCCACCACAGAAATAATTTTTGCTTCAACTATCACACCCAAGACAGTCTTCACACATGAAAACTGCATGTTCCATACGTAAGTATCACTTACACTGATGACACATATCGTTTGTTTTCCGTTGGGCACGGTCAACATCTCTTTGGTTTTCCTGTTATAGTAGGTATTTGTGATGTTGCTCCTGCCTGTTCGCCTGTCAGCTCACTAGTGTAGTATGCTGCACAGTTTTTTGGCATAGTTCCTTGCGCAGAAACATTTTGTTTTTCCTCTGTTACAAATGATCTCTTGAGTCCATTCCCAGTCTTCTAAGAAAACTTGTGATTTTTGCACTTGTTATTTTCTTTATGAATTGTCAAACTATTTATGCCACACATGTTTAGGATTGAGTAAGTCATAAGAATTGGCCAACACTTTGTGTTTCAAGTGACATCATAGTTGCTGCAGAACTCATCAACATCTATTCCACCTTTGATTTTATTGTGGAAAGTTACCATCTCAGGCTTCTGTTTCATCGAGGTTTTCCTGTCAATATTTTCAACATGGTGCAGTGTTTGTTTTATTTTGCCATATACGAGGCCAGTGTCATCTTTCTGAAATCCAAAGATTGTACTATATAATCCTCCATTTTGAAATTGTAACATTTCATTTGGAATTTCTGCTTTGCTCCTGCATACAGTTCATGTCACATTCCAATTAGTTTGGGAGATGGGAGCAACAAGTCTGGTCACAACAAACATCATTTGGTTTACTACTATATGAATAAGGCCCTGGTGACTGAGTTCCAGGATAAATTTCTAAATTGAAAGTATAAGTCTTCATATCCACAGGGGCATAAATTTTTATGCCATATTTTGAAGGGTTTTTTGGGAAAGTACTGCCTAAAGGCACAGCAACCATGAAATGCTGCAAGATGTTCATCAGTAGTCATGTATTTAGATGGTGTGTAAATTGTTTGTCAGTTACCCACAAATTCCTCCGATTATGAGCTGATAACAGCCAGATTATCAGTTCTTTTTCTTTCTTGGTGGGTGGTTTTGTTATTAAACTTTAAGGCAGTTTTGAAGGAAACCAAATATCCTCAGTGTCACCTTTATTTCACAGACTGCAAGCCCACGCCCATCAGTTTTCCGTAAGTCTTTTTTTTTCCTGTGATTGCCATGAAAAAGCCCTGCTAAGTACAGCAGACCTATGAATGCTTTCAGTTCAGCTAGTGAAGTATCATAATAAATACTTTTGCTGGGGGGGCGGTGAGACAGGATCTCTCTCCTTAATTCAGGCTGGCCTTGAATGCACTATGTGGCCCAGGTTGGTGACATGGGCTACCTACCTCGGCTTCCCAAGTTCTGGGAGTACAAACATGTGCCACCATGCCCAGCAGTAAATACATTTTTGAGTATGGCTATTGATGCTACAGAACATTTTACTTGTATTTCAGCATACTTATATTTCAGAATATCTCACAACATCTTGTAACATTTCATCTGTTACAATTTCCAACACTGAGTGGAAGTGCTGACGTTCAGTCCAATAGATTTTGCCCCTGCCAAGATCCTCACTATGTTTTCAGACCCAGTTCTAACATTGGATCGTTCCATTTGGTTCTGTGACCCTTTTGTACCATTTCTACTAGTCAAATTATGTGTGCACATTGCTATTTTCTTCATCATCTGAGTTGAGGAGGTCTGCATTCCCAGTGTCTGTATCAGTTGGTTGGTTAGTTTGTTTGGTCTTTCTGAGACAGGGCTCACTATGCAATTCACCTAGCATTGAACTCACTTTGTAGACCAGGCTGGCCTCGAACTCACAGCAGTTCTTCTGCTTCAGCCTCCTGAGTGCAGGGATCACAGGCGTGTACCACCGTGCTGGGCAGTCAGTTGATTTAAATCTCTGATACACACTTAACCGTTCATCTGTCAAATGGGTGAATGCACAGGTGGCTTCTTGCTTTCTCCAGGCACAGCTACTATGAGTCACACTCACATTTCATTTATGGTAAAATAACATGTTTACAGAACAGAAGAGTGGTATGGGTGTATTTTACCCCCTATGATGCTCAAGTAAACATGCACAAAACCTGTTAGAGCATTATGTGGATAAAAATCCCAGTTTAACACTTTTGCACACAAGTACACACCTTGCCTTTTGTCATACCAAATGGGTAAACACGAAGATTCCTTCCTGTATCCCCTCGGCACCTACTGAGATGTTGGCTACTATTATGCTAAAGTACAAATTTATCGTAGAAAAGTATGGGATAGGTTGTTCTAACCCAGTATTTTTTCCCAGTTAATGTGATGACATTTAGAGATGAGGCTTTTAGGAGAGAATTAGATTTAGATGAGTACATGAGGGTATGACACTCTTGGTATAAGATTAGTGTCCTTATAAGCAGAAACATCAGGGTGCTTCTGTCCCTGTCAGGGGGGACATAGCAAGAACGTAGACTTCTAATAACCAGGAAGTGAGCCCTTATCAGAACCTTGGATGCATTGGGCTGTTCAAGGAACAGTTATTTGTTTAATAGAGCTCTGCTTCCCTGTATACAAATGGAAAAGATATCACCTGGTCAGCATTATCGCTTGATAATATTGGGGGCTAGATTTGGGATGAATTTCAGGAGTCAGCTGTTCCAACTAATTTTATAAAAAAGCAGGCCTAGAGAGCCAGGCATGGTAGCACATGGCTATAATCTCAGTGCTTTGGGGAACTGAAGCAAGAGGATTGTAAAGTCAAGTACAGACTAGGCAACTTATTGAGACTCAACTCAAATAAAAAATACAAAGGACTGGGGATGTAGCTCAGTGAAGACCCTAGATTCAGTCCCAGCACCACCCCCCACCCCCCAAAAAAGAAAAATGGAGACCTTCAAAAGGCAAAGTAACTTTATCAAACAGGTAAACAGTTGTGGAACCAACATTAGAATATAGGTGTGTTGTTTCTTGTTTGGAACTTTTTCTCCTGGCTTATGCTCTATGTTTGTGCTCTTTGAGGAAAAGACAACCAGAGTGAAATGTTTGTTTATGTCTACTGTAAAGGAGGATTCTGGCTGGCACTATTTCTTTGTTACCTGGGAGTATGCCTTAATACTAACTGATATAGAATGATCAATACTTTATGTAGTTACTGTACCTAAAGTAAGTGGAGAATAGACCTCAATGTTATTATTGTAAGATTATCTAATGAGAATGCTAGATAACTAAACTACTAACTACATGATGGACCAAACTTGGTCCCTTATCTTTTGGTGCTGACTAATGAAGTCAACCTGTGTCTCTCTCTCTCTCTCTCTCTCTCTCTCTCTCTCTCTCTCTCTCATCTTTTTTTGTTGTTTTTGTTGCTGTTTTGTTTTTACTTTGGTATGAATCTGATTCCTTAATATGGAAGATACTTGTACTTTTGGTATTTAAATTCCACAACTTGCTTGGTAAGCAATACATAGTTCATTTAACTGGACACACAAGCTCTAAAGTAATTTTCTTTGTTCATATTTTCTTTAGGAGCCTTGGTGAAAACAGATGAGCAAGAAGTAATCAACTTTTTATTGACAACAGAAATTATTCCTTTGTGTTTACGCATTATGGAATCTGGAAGTGAGCTTTCTAAAACGGTACATTCCACGTTGTTTTGGCTCTTGAGCACCTTCTTTTTGGTCTAGGATCATTTTCCGCCTGTTTTCAGTTTTTTGCACTCTCTGTGAATATTTTTCTCTTCAATATAAATGTTATGAAATGATCATTTAAAAACTCAGATCTGGGGCTGGGGATTTAGCTCAGCGGCAAAAGCGCCTGCCTGGCAAGCGCAAGGTCGTGAGTTCGGTTCCCGGTACCAGAGAAAAACCAAAAAAAAAAAACAAAACAAACAAACAAAAAAAAAACTCAGATCTACCCAGGTGTGATAGTACATGCCTGTAATCTCAGCACTGTGGGAGGCTGAGGCAGGAGTATCGAAAGTTTGAGCCCAGGCTGGCCAATTTAGCAAAACCCTGTCAGAGGGTAGCTCAGTGTAAAGCGTCTGGGTTCAGGCTGAGATTGGTGGCACACATCTGTAATCCCAGCACTAGGGAGGCTGAGACAGGATTGCCAGGAGTTTGAGGCCAGCCTTGGCTACACAGTTAAGCTCAAGACCAGCCTGAACTATATACTGAGCCCCTGTCTCAAAAAACAAAAAGAAAGCCCTGGGTTCTGTTCTAAGTACTGTACCCTCCACCCCCAAAAAAGACCAGATGCAAGTTAAATGCTGGATCTCCTTGCTTTAAACCCACATCATCTTCTACAGGTAGTCCTTAAGTGTGTTCCACGCATTTTTTAATGCATAATCAAGTGCACGTGCTTGAACTTTTTTGATTACTGTGTACTTTAACCCTGGATGGTGACAGAACTAGGTATAAAATTCTTACCTCATTTTTCTCTGAGAATTCTGTTGCCCTAGCCCTGTTGTCTCCTGGCATTGAATATTGCCATGAAGTCGTAGGCCAACCTAATTTTTCCTTTGTAAATGAAGTTTCCTTCTTGTCTATAGTTTCTAAAATTCATTTGATAATCTTATATCAAATTTTCAGAGAATAGCATATTTCTTGTATCTCTTTTCTTGGGGAGATGGGTACTGGGGATTGAACCCAGGGCCTCTGCACTGAGCTACATCTCCAGCCCCTTTGTTTTTTATTGCCCAGGCTGTGGTCAGATTCTTGACTTGCTGCTTCAGACTCCAAGAGTGCTGGAATTACAGCCTTGTGCCACCACACCTAGCTATGACATGAGCTTTAAGTGAAGTATTTTACTTCCAAAGAGTTTATAGCTTTCTTAAGGTGCCCAAAGCACTATGACACCCTTTCCCCCCAAAATACACAAAATGTTTTAAGAACCTAGCCTTCTGAATTTATCAGGCTAGTAAGTATGTGACATCAATACTGATTCTGTATCCACACACTCAGAAACTTTTCCAAGCCCGGTGTGGTGGCGCACGCCTGTAATCACAGCACTTGGGAGGCTGAGGCAGGAGGATCATTGCAAGTTCAAGGTCAGCCTGCGCTACAAAGTGAGCTCAAGGCCAGCCTGAACTGCATAGCGAGACCGTGTCTCAAAAAGACCAAAACAAAACAAACAAAAAGAAAAACCAAAGAAAGTTTCCATTTTTGGCTATTTCTTATCCTTGTGTCTGGCAATTATTATTGAGAGCACAAGCACAGATAGATTCATATGTCGCATGATCTATTCTTTATCTTTCAGCATAGTTCCAGATGTCAAACTATACCTTGACGTAATTGATACAGTGTTTCCCAAATTACTCAGGAGAGTACGACATAGGGCATAAGTGCTTCATTATAGAAGCCCTGTGTGGTGGTGCATGCCTGTGATCCCAGCACTTGGGAGATTGAGGCAGGAGTATCACGATGTGTTCAAGGCCAGCCTGGACTGCGTAAGCAAGGCCTTGTCTCAAAAAACCAAAAAGAAAAAAATAGAAGTACCTTGTCATATTCATTGTTTTCCCATCATTTTAAACTTTTGATCGTTTTAATTCTCTGCTTGTTGTAATTGAGTATCTCTTCTTAACAGCATTTTCTACCCTCTTGTTACTTTTCCCTCATTGTATAGATGGGATAAATTGCTAAGTCTCAAAGAGGAGTTCAGTTTGATAAAGTGATTGTGCATTATCACTAAATTGAGAGCATGGAAGTAGTTTTTGCTCTCAGGCATAGTTTTCTTCATATCTATAAGTATTTATAAATTGTAAGTTCTTAAATTGAAAAGCTTCTGTTTCCTCACATTTTCTGAGATTTGGGGACCTGACATGATTATAATCCAGGCATGCTGGTACATGCCTGTAGTTCAGCTACTTAGGAGGCTTAGGTGGGAGAATGCCTTATATTCACAAGTTTGAGACCACCCTGGTCAATATAATAATAAGACTTCATCTCAAAATACATGACATGTTTTGTGAGGTTTTGTTTTTAATTTTAAGACAGGATCTCACTAAGTCATGAAGTTGTCTAGCCTGGACTCATATTTGTAGTCCTTCTGCCTCAGCTTCCTAGAGATAGATCTGGGATTACAGGCTTGTGCCATCATGCCCATCCAAACTATTAGATTTTTATGTTGAATAAAGTAAGATGTCTAAGGTGAATTTAGAAGAGGAAACTGAAAGATACAGTGAATATTTTAAATACAAAAAAATTTACAGTAAAACATACAGTGCCATTAATACCTTTCAAAATCCTCCCTTCAAACACACTTATATCATCATTCTTGCCACTTTCTGAAGCAGTTCTGGAAGAACTCTGTTGTTGTCTTTTACAAGGTATGATCAAAAATACAGTGAATGTTCCTGTCAGGTGCCATCCAGCAAAAAGGTGTGCTCATGAACACATGGCAGTGATGGCAAACCTTTAGAGCGTTCAGTGGTAACAAACAGCCCCCTGTGATACATGTGCCATAGGTTTGCCACCACTTACATTCCTTGGCTCCTGATTCCATCTGCAGAACCAAGCCAGTGGTGAAGCACATCCAAATCTGTCTCTCCTTATATTGTCTTCTTTTTTTTTTAATTATATCTCTCTCTGCCTCCCTTTTTTTGTTTTTGAGACAGGGTCTCACTATGTACAGTAGTTTAGGATAGCCTTGAACTCACTATGTAGCCTTGGCTGTCCTCAAAGCATGGCAATCCTACCAAAGCCTCCTGAGTCCTGGGATTACAGGTGTGTACCACTATGTCCGGTTACCTCTCTCTTACAAGGAAATTTACATTTAGGGCCCACCTGGATAATCTCTCTGTATAAAGATCCTTTGTTTTGTCTCATTTTTACCATATAAAGCAACATTTTCAGGATTTGATAATTAGAACCTGTCTGGGGACCACTGTTCAGCCTTTAACAATGTTACACCCCAGTAAAACAGTAATTTCCACAATTGGTTTTGTTGAGCAGCCAAGGAAGAGAATCGTTATAATTGCCTGATTTGAACTAAACTAGTATTTTTAAATCTCGTCTGTGTAAAAGTTAATGACCTTAAATTGAAAAGGGAAATTGAGTCTAGATGTAAACTTTACAGCCAGGGTTTATTACTGTTGGAATAATTTTCAAAGAAAGGCTCAAAAGGGAAGATCTTTTAAGAACAAGCCAGGCATGATGGTGCATGCCTATAATCCCAGCAGTTGGGAGGCTGAGGCAGGAAGATCACGAGTTGGAGACCAACCTGGTCTACATAGGGAGTTCAAGGCCAGCCTGAACTACACAGAGAGACCCTGTCTCCAAAAAAAAAGAGATCTTTAAATTACAAAAAAGGCCTTATTTCCTTACCTGGAAGAGGTGAAACATAGCTGAATCTCTAAAGTCCTCTTGGTTCACAGAAGAGGCTACAGTATTAAAACAGTGTTTAGAGCTCAACCCTACCACTTGCTAGCTTTGTCACTTGGGGCTTTAACCTGCACATAGTTGGCATTCAATAACTGAAAAAGCCTCCCAGCCTTTAGAATCTGATAATTACCTAGAATTTTCCCCTCATTTTATGTAGAGGGAGAATAACAGTATCTACCTTATAGGTCTATTGTGAACATAAGGCATGTAAAAAGTCTTCAGAAAAAAATCCTGACAGTTTCATAGTATTTATGAACTTTCTGTACTATACATATATAGTAGAGTAAGTTGTATGAGATACACAAGGGTCTCTGCGTCTCAGTTTTTTAATTGCTGGTTATACCTGGGAAAATGAATAGACAGTTGGGATAGTAATAGTAAATTTGAGCAACTTTTTAAAAAAACTTTTGTTTTACTTCAGGTTGCCACATTTATCCTCCAGAAGATCCTCTTAGATGACACTGGTTTGGCTTATATATGTCAGACATACGAGCGTTTTTCTCATGTTGCCATGATCTTGGTGAGTTTTTCATCTACCCCATTTGTAACTACTGTATCTCTGATCACACAGATTAGACCCTTGGCAATTGACCCTGGAGCAGTTATAGTCTTCTAACTAGAAATAATTCCAGAAGCTTCTGTAATGATTCTTAAATTATCTAATCTTTGGTGTCAGTTACATTTACTTTATGTTTTTTTTTTTCACCCTATCCACTTCCTATTTTGGGCAAAACAGGGTAAAATGGTCCTGCAGCTGTCCAAAGAGCCTTCTGCCCGCCTACTGAAGCATGTAGTAAGATGTTACCTTCGACTTTCAGATAATCCCAGGTAAACATTTACAGAATTTAGAGGGTTTTAATGTTCTGCTGAACTGTACTCCCCATCTCATGACATAGATCCTTTATCTTTAGGAAACAGAAGGGATTTAACTGTATTTAATTTATCTGGACAGAATTTAAATTCCTTTTAAAATCTAAAGTGCTAAATTTAAAACTCCATCAGAGTCATATCTTCCCGTTGCAATTATCTTATAATGAATTTCCAGAGGGTAGATTTCTAATTCCAGGGGAAGCTTTATGATGCATTACTCCTGTGGTTTGAGCTTTCAATTGATATTCCAAAGGTCAGAAAAAGAAGTATACTTTCAAACATCACTCAGAAAGGACCATGGCCTACAGGGCTTTTAAAGTATATTTCCAGTTCTCGGATTGCTGTGAGGTTATTGAGCTAATTGTTTTATTTCCCTGTGTTCGTAATCTTTCTGCCAGAAATCATACATTGTATATATAATACATTTAGAAATGTTTGACCTTCTGCTTTGTAAATCCATAATTTATGCTGAAAGCCACTGGCTCAGATTCTGACAAACCATGTAATGGAATGATTTCTGTGTTCCTAGAAATAGGGATAACTTGATTTAATGTGAACTCAAGTCTGTTGCCACTGAAGTTATTCAAACTTTTCCTATTTCTTTTGTCCACTTTGTCTTGTTCTTCAGTAGTTTCAGCTGTCACCAAAGTTTGAAAATGTGTTTGTTTATAAGTACAAAAACTGTAACTGTGAAGAATAGCCCTATAGTTAACATTTACCTTTTTTAGGTTTTCAGATTTGACTTTCTGCTGTTCATCATTTCAAAGAAAATGAAACATTTAAAGTTCATCTGATAATGCTGCTACCATAGTTTTGTTTTTATGATTCATCTCTTATTAAGGTTTTTAAATATAAAATTGAAACAATTTCTGTAAAGATATAAGTTGATAAGTTAGTATAGAATGAAAATTCATTAACTTAGCACATACAAGTGAGGTCATATCTGCTGTTAATGGTTTTTGAAATATTTGGTTTACTATAACTCATCTATTTTTAACATGATATTTTGACATTATTGATTATAATAAATCAGAAAACAATTTGAAGTAAACTATTGCACCATTTTATTCCATTTTGCTTTTACATGAAATTCTACACTGGGACGTGTTTGCAGACTACAGATCCTAGAGATCTTTGAGCCAATGTCTGATATAAGCATTAGAGAATTTTAATGTCTCCTAAATATAACTTAACAGAGCCATAGATTCCCACTTACTGTATATTTATGTCTAAGAAAGGGGCTCTTCCCTAGCCCCCAAATCTGGGTTTATTTGTTGGTCTCCCTGGTTGGTTTGTTTGTTTCTGATGTAGGGCACGTGAAGCACTCAGGCAGTGCCTCCCTGACCAGCTGAAGGACACAACCTTTGCCCAGGTGCTAAAAGATGACACCACCACGAAACGCTGGCTTGCACAACTGGTGAAGAACCTTCAAGAGGGCCAGGTCACCGATCCCCGGGGTATCCCCCTGCCCCCTCAGTGATCCCCCTGTCTCCTCCCACTATTCCCCCAAGTTGGGGAAGGGAGGGGAACCCACGAGGAAAACAGCTCAGGTTTTATCGCCGACCGAGAATAGACAACCTCAATGCTGAACTGCACTGGAGAAAAGGGGCAAGCTACCCCTGCTGAGGTGTATGGGCTGCCATCTCAGGCTGCCTTGAGGACCTCGTTGAGGACCTGGGCTCCCTCGGCTACTCCCAGGAAATGGGCTTCTGACACAGCAGTCTGCCACCACAGCCCCAGAAGGGTGTCAACACCAGCAAATGCTGTATTAGCAGCATGCCCAAGATGACCCTGCTTCCCTTCCTCTACCTAGCCACTGGCAGGAAGGGGAGACAGTGGTGATAGCAGCAGCACTCTAGGCATGGTGAGCGCCTGGGACCAAGCCATGTGGCGTTTTTTACTTTGCCTTCCTGGAAGACTCAAGATGTGTCTCTTAATTCTCTCTCTCAGTATTTGTTTACTTTGGTTTTTTTGTTTTTAATCTCAGAGAGAGGTATGTTAGTGGACACAGCTATAATTTTCAGCAAGACTTTGTCAATTGGCACTGTTTACAAGTCTGTTAGCTGCATAAGCTCAATAAAAAGTTGGTCTGGGCATTACATCCCCTCTGGCAGGCCAATAGCTGCATCAGGCTGTTGGGCGGAATGGGAGTCAGGGGAAAGATGTAAAGCCAAAGGACAGCAGGAAAACACCGCCTGTTTCCCTCCTTCTCCCATTCTTCTGCTCCTATTCCTGGGTGCCGTGAGGACCTTAACCTTGTTTCTGGCTTTAGCTGCTAGCTTTTCCAAATCTGTGCTTTTCCTTTTTCATTTCCCTCTTATTAAACTTAAAATAGATGTCTTAACTCATCCTGCTATCCTGAAAGGGTATTATATTGTGGCAAGAGGGGTGGCAGTCTTCAAATTCAAGTCTTCAGAGATGTATTCCAGATGATATTTAAAAGGGAGGTGCCTGGGATTAAGGTGCTAGGCCACCTGATCCCATTCTTGTAGTGTGAATTTCAGCAGCTCCATCTGTCTTCATGATTGTACTTGAAGCAGTATTAGCTGAATGGGTTTATTTTATTCACATTTGAAATGGAGGGCTGGACTCTGCTTGCTCACTCAGTCTTTCCCTTTTGTCCATGGGAATTACAGGGTTCACTAAAATAGTTTTCACTTGTTCGTACTGTGTTGGAGAATTCCCCTTCCTTCTCCTGAGCGTTAGCTTGTTCTGTTCACAATCCACAGGCTTGAACCTAACCTACTATAATCTGCCTTGCCTTCCCCAGTCCTTTCCTGTTAGTATCTGCTTCTCTTATACCCATCTCCAGTCAGAGATGGGTTTGCTGGTCCAGCTCTAGAGAGGGACCAAGTCTTTTCTGTCCACATCTCATACAATTGAGGATGTAGGTCTCTGAACAAGTTTGAGGAAGATCTATAAGGGCAAGTTTAGAAATCTTTGCAGAGGCAGTATTGCCAACTCAAGGGCTCTTTCAAGCCGACTTTCACAAAGGGAGCCGGCCTTGTTAGTTGGCTTCTGTCTCATTAGAGCCAAGAAAGTAGTAATTAAATAGCCTAGATATAGGAAGGGTAGAATAAGCACTTATTCCTCTGCCTTCCAAAATGAAGAGGAGAACCAGACCTGAAGAGGAGAGGTCTTGGAGAAAGCAGAAACCAGCATGGACTGGATAAACGTCTTGACTTCCTTCAGCCCACAGCCTGTGATCTGGAGAGTCCACCTAGGGTAATCCTGATTTTTGACAACCGCCTTCCTGCTGAGCCAAAGTTTTCTCATTCCCCCTCCACTGGGGAAGCAGCTGAGGCCCAGGCCTTGCTCCCTGGGAAGTTCTCTCCATCTTTCGGTGCATTGGCCATGTTACTGTGCCAATAGTGTCTTAATTCTTGTCCCATCTATTCTCAGCTGGCCTTGGAACGCACATAGGAGTTATTGGGGGAGGGGCAGAATGGGTATTATTCCTTATGGTTGGTCTTGATGTTTTGTGTATTGTATAAAGAGACCCCTCCCCTTATTTTGTGTTTTCCATCCCTCTCACTCCCTCAACAGGACTGAAATAAAACATGCTTCTGTTTTTGTAAAAATAACTTTTCTTTTTAACTGGAGATTTTATTTTGTCAACAGATATCCAGGCACTTTGGTCAGGTGATCTTTGTCATACCTGCTTATACACATATATTGCCCTACCATGAATATCATGGTGGTTTCTATGTGGCCAGCTGTAGGAGTCTAGAAGACTGCATCTGATGTACAAAAGCTGTTTGGGAGGCTGGGATGATGCTGTTTACCTGATAAATTGTCTCTTGCAACCAGACATGTAATCCCAACACTTTGAGAGGCTGAGGCAGGAAAGTTGTAACTTCAAGCTCACCCTGGGCAACTTAACCACTTAGCAAGACCCTGTTTTAAAATAAAAAAGGGCTGGGGATATAGCTTAGTCACCAGTAACACCAAAAAGAAAAAGTGTCTCTTTCAGGAACAGGCCCTGACTTCTGGCTTTTATGCCAGTGAGCGGAAAGGTTTCTGTGAGAAGGTAATGCATCTCTAGAGTAGAGGCCTTGGAGCACATCTTTAGCATTGTTCCCACACCTGGCCCTCAGCAAGACACTTCCAGCTTTTTTTCCCAAGGGTTTTAGAAAGCCTGTGAGAGTTTTCAGTGGTAGAGCAAGGAGCAGCATCAGTACCCTTCAGAGCATACTTTCCCTGTTATCTACAGATAATTCCTGTGCTCACTGTTATTGCTTATAAAGGTTAGGAAAAGAAGGACATAGAAAGTTACTGCTGGGCCAGGCATGGTGGCACATGCCTGTAATCCCAGCACTTGGGAGGCTGAGGCAGGAGGATTGTTGTGAGTTCAAGACCCACCTGGGCTACACGTGAGCTCAAGGTCAGCCTGCACTGCATAGTGAGACCCTGTTTCAAAAAGACAAAAAAAGAAAAAGTTACTGCTATCAAGAACTCATGGCGGGCTGGAGTACAGCTCAGTACTTGAGCACATGATTAGTGTGCCCAAGGAACTGGGTTCATTCCTCAGCACCATAAATAAAAATTTTTTAAAACATTTGAAATAGGGAACCACAGAATGAAACAAGATTTTTCTTTTCTGATACATTATGGAATTTGGTTTTGGGGAAGGTATTTTAATATGTGTTCCAAAAGCAGGTGTAACAGGTAAAATTTTGAATTACACAACAAACCTAGTTTAACTGACATACATAGAACACTGCACTCTTTCCTATCTCAATCTATTCATATTCCTGGGGTAGATATGTATGTACTTATTTGGAAGCAGGTCTGCTATGTAGCTCAGGCTGGCCTCAAACTCATGAGCCTCCTGCCTCTTATAATCCCCTGAGTGCTGGAATTATGGGCCTGTGCTGCCATTAATTGCATCTGAAGACTTATTAGGGCTGGTTATACCTGAACTATCAAACAACCTTCCAGGTTTTTCAGAAAAAATTAAAACAATGGCATGTTTCTGACTATAGAGGGCTCAAGCTAGGAAAAACAGTTGACAATTCCTTGTTTAGGCATTATATTTCTAAACCCATTGATCAAAGAAGAAATCACATAGGAAACTAGACTCTTTTGAGTTGAATGATAATAAAGGATGTTATATTTGCCAGGTGTCGTGGTACATGCCTGTAATCCCAACACTCAGGAGGCTGAGGCAGGTAGATCGTTGCAAGTTTGACACCAGCCTGGGTTCCAAAGTGAGCTCAAGGCCTGCCTGAATTGCATAGCAAGACCCTGTCTCAAAAAGATGGAAAAAGTCATATTAGAGCCTTTGTATAGCTAAGCCAGTGCTTTTAAAAGAAATTATATATTCACATTGTAAATTCACACATTATAAAAGAAAGCCTGAAAGTCAGAAATTAATTTTTCATATCAAGAAACTGGGTTGGTTTGGGGTTTTTTGGTACTGGGAATTGAACTCGACCTTGCTCTTGCCAGGCAGGCGCTTGTGCCACTGAGCTATATCCCAGGCCCGAGAAACTGGAATAGAATAATAAATTCAAAAAGTAGAAGGAAGACAGCACCGAATCCTAACCACTAGACCACTAGAGAGCATCAAAAAAAGTAGAAGGGGGGCTGGGGATTTAGCTCAGCGGCAAAGCGCCTGCCTGGCAAGCGTAAGGTCGTGAGTTCGGTTCCTGGTACCGGAGAAAAACCAAAAAAAAAAATAACCTCTGAAGGGGAAACTGC